TCCCCCACTTCCCTCTCTTCGGCAACAATAAAACAACAACAACGGTGGCGGTAGTCGTAGCCGAGCCTCCACGCTTCGCCGCGGATTTAAGGTCACTCTTCGAGTGGGCCTACGGTGCATCTTGGCTAACACAGGTGCAGACTAAGTGACAAAAATAGTAGAACACTCAGCCTGTGTTTTCGTTAGCCTTCAATCGCTAGGCACCATCCAGTGCATGCGGGCGAATACACCAGGGTATGTTGCGGACGCCTTGGTGTTTCGAGAAGATCTAGCCTCATTGGGTATCCTATGAAACGGCAAAGCAAAAGTATACGGCCGCCAAGGGACCTTGAAGATGAGGCGTGGCGCAGGCATCTAACACGGTGTGCACTCCAGTGAAGGGAAGCAAATCGACCTAAAACGAGTGCAGTCGTCGTGGTTGTAGGGAGGGATAGAGTTATGGAGGGGAATCTCCCAGAAGCAAGTCCGCCGCCGGGACAATGGGGTATGTCCCACAACGGTGCTACTCCTGGTAAAAATATAGGACGTGTAAAGCAGGGCACGCAAGGAGGAAAGTATTCACGAATACAAACTCGAGGCACCCCGTGTGTATTCGTTGTTGGCGCAATCAGAAGTGTAGTGTGTCGTCCCACGCTGAAAATAAGCGTCCGATGTATAATTAAAATCACAACATCACATGCGCGCTTCGCTTTCAACCTCACCGTGCCGCATGCTCCCGCGCGGCATACCTCCGCATCCAGACCCGTCAGCCGCGTCATCTTCCGCCGCTGAGTAAGCCCAATCCCACTTCGATGTAAGGGTGATGGGCTGTGCTATGTGGCGGGTGGAATGCCTCAAAGCAAGCGGTAAAGCCGCGCGATGATGCAAAAAAAAAAAATGAAAAAAAAAGGAGAAATAATTCTAGGCCGTTCTTCAGGCCACCACGCGGATCAACTGCACACCCCCCTCTTCCCCCTCCGAGGCAAGGCCTCGAAACGAGCTAAGATAGTGACAACACACGTGTGGGAGGAAAACGGACATCCATATATATATATATATATATATACATACATGTACAGACAAATTACGCG